GAGGAAGCTGAGATCAAATCAATATGAAAATTATTATATTCTCCTACTTTTCTTAGTGATTTATAGTGCCAGTTTATCAGGAAGTGACGATTTAGTTCTCTCTGACTTGTTGGATTGAAACGAAGCTTGTGCGCAAATGTTTTATGCGATATTCCAGTTTTGCGCACAAGTTAAATTCGCAACTTTGGATGGAAAAGTTTTTCAGCTCCATCCCTAATCAAACAAAGCCAATCAAGGTCTAGATAGCCAGGCAGGTGAGTTTTTATCAAGGCTGGAGCTAAAGTCTGCAGGGCTGTGTGGACTCTCCAGGACCTACGTTGGCCACCTCTGGGTTAAATGGTTTAAAAATTAATTGGTTATTACAATGGTCACTACAGGACTAGCAGAAACATTCTGATCTCAACACACTAAAAGACCGTCACCATCGGCTGGAGCAGATTATTTGACAGTCAGAGAGGAGCACACACCTAATGACTGAGTCAGTCTACACACTTAATGACTGGCGCGTCACGACTGGACAAATTCTGCCGAACCACAAAAAACTAAACAAAAAAACAACTAACAAAAACAGCACGCTCCCACAGCTGTTCCCGCCCCACCAAATACAACACTGCAGAGAAACATTCTGACCTCAACACACTAAAAACCATCACCATCGACTGCAGCAGATTCTTTGACAGTATGAGAGGAGCACACACCTAATGACTGCCCTTACGAAAAAGAAGTTTATTCAAGTGTGCTATTAGTATACTTCTTTTAAACTAAAAATAGGAAAGTATACATTTTGCCGAACCACCAAAAAAAAAAAGGAAAAAAAATTTCTCACAAAAACTCCCACAGCTGCTCCCGCCCCACCAAATACAACCCTGCGGACAACACGGTGCTTTTAGCTATTGAAACGTTAAGGTTTGTTTTACTTTTCTTAGTTTGTGCTTAATATAACAAAACATTAGCGTTCGTTCATTAGTGTTCCTAATAAATGTCACAGCAATGTGTCTTGAATATGTTTTGCATCAAGTCCGATGCTTCTCTTTCTTTTTGGAATTATTGCTTGAAAAAGATTTTAAATTTCATTATGTATTTTCAAATGCCTAGGCCTATGTTTAATTCCCTTCATTATAAAATTTCTAGCGTTATTTTTAAACGTTTAGTCAAACAATAATATATTATCTCATGTGTCTAAAATCAGGGTAAAACGATAGGCCTTTATTTTCCGTTACATTTCCCGAGTTACAGGTTAGACCGAAATAAAACATTACTTAATTAATTCAAGGCACTGTAATTTCCTTATCCATTTCACGTAAAACTATATATAATTAATTTATATATATATTAAAACAAAAATTTTCATAAATTTATTTCATGAATAATTTTTTATTTCATCATATTCGTGATTTATGATTTTTTTACGAAAATTTTGTTTTATAGAATAGCTAAGGTATTCGTTATATTCGTATATTGCTTATGACGAAAATTCATTAGCCTAGCCTATTTGTTATGAAGTTGATTTAAAATTCTTCATAACAAATTTTAAGAAGAATTTAAAAGTTAAGAAAATGAAATTAGCCTGTAGGCTATAGATCTATAGGCTAATTTCCTTAACTTTTACTAGACTGCAGATCGGAAAAAAATAATTCTTTATAATCTTTAAAATGAGAGAAATCACTGACATAATTTATACTTACTTCGACTGCAGAAAAAATTAAACCATTTAATTTGCAGTGTTAACTTATGAAGTAAATGAAAAACAAGAAATAAATCACAAGAACAATAGTTGTTTTTTTTGTAATCAAGAAAAAATATGACAATTGCAAAATTAATGCTGAATGATAGGCTATTTGACAGTGAACGCATCTCCACTGCATAGCCGCATACAATCGTTGTTGTCAGTCGCGAATATTACGCATGTTTTAGGCTACAGTGCATGGCGTGTGTTTCACTAGATCCGTTCCCATGGACACCTTATGTTTGATCTAATTCTGGATATCTCCAGCCTAAGACGTGTGATTAATCAGCCGATTAATCCGTATCTAAAGCCGTGTCTACACCAAAAGAACCCATCACGGGAAGTGGCGCGAGGCGACAAATCTTCTACAGCAGTGGTTCCCAAACCTGTCCTGGGGCGCGTTTCCCATACAACTACATAACTCGCTGATTAACCACCATAGTACCATGCATCGTTGTGGAAACGAACTAGCAAGTCACGACTGTTTCCCAAAACCATGGTACCTGTGTCGCAAATCCATCGTTTAAACCACGTTGGTTTGAGCTGTCGTTAGGACGTTGGTTCTACTTCTTCTTCGATCTAATAGCCGACTGTTCCCATGAGCATATACCGCCACCTACAGTAATTTGGTTCCCTTTCATGGGAACTTCAAACTGCGTCCTCTAGGGGTCGCTATGGGGAACGTCTCATCGTGACCCGTGTCTGAAGCATACATTGAAAAAACACCAACTCGTTGGATGGCAACAGCCATGACGTCACTACCGGTGCGACTATAGTATAAATAGGCGCCGGGAGCACACATCATTCTCTTCTTCGTCTTCATTGACTGTTTTGTTTGAAGCGTGCATTTCTGTGGTAAGAGCGATCTCTATTCATCTCATTATGGCGAGCACTAGCAAAGCGTTTAAGGATGTGTGCATCCGTGTTGATGTTGTTTAACATCTGATGACACGATCTATGCGTTATTTGTTTGGGCGAACAGCACGCACGCGATGCCTCCGAGGGGGCAATCGGCGTGCACTGTGAGCGTTTTTTCCAAGGGAAAAGCTCCGCTCTCGTTTGTCTCCCTTTTCGAGGAAAGAGGGGCAGCCATCTGCTTCCCGCGATTCAGGACCCGCCGCTGCTGAGGCACGGAAGGGAAT